TGAGATTTTAATTTGGTTTATAATTTCCTTCATTTCTAAGATTACTGTTTGATTCTTTTTTATAATCTCTATCTCCTGATTAAGATGCTTAACTTTTTTAATCTGTTTATGTAATTCCTTCTCAATGTGTTCTTTTGCTGCTTGAATTTGCTGTCTTGTGTCCTCTTTAAGGTTCCATTCCATCTGTCTAAGGTGTTCCCTGAGTTCTTTATATGACCACTTTTCTGATGACTCTATGTCGTCCTGAATATTTGGGCTGTCCTATGTTGTTTGTACTCCTTTTCTTCCTTGCTTTTTCATACTGCTCATTTTGCTTTCTGTTCTGTTTGATTGTTGAGTTACTGTCTACTCCTATAAATTTATTTGATGCTTGGGAGGAAAGGTATTAGCAGGGAAGGGAAGAAATCACCAAAGAGAATGAGAGTAACCAGGTAGAATTCAAGGAAGGGGAAATAAGAGAATTGAAAAGAAATGGAAAGACAGAGGAAGAGAAGAAAGAGAAAGAAAAAATAGAAGATTTAAAAGAATTTAAAAAAATAACAATAGTAATAATAGAGATGAGGATTAAAATTAAAAAATAAAATAAAATAAAATGAATTTTAAAAACATTTTTTTAAAACAACAACAACAACAACAACAAAAACCCAACAACAACATCCACAAAAAAAAAATTAATAAATGCAGTCTTAGAGTCCGATTCACTATTCTTCCATTAGGTGAAGCTGTGCCCACCGGGGCTAAGCTTCTCTTCTCAGTAGGCGGGAGCCTGTCACTGTGCAGCAGCTTTTCCTCCCGGACTGGGCGGGTCTGCTCACCGGTAATGCTCACCACAATACTGGCTACATGCCAGGTCTGCTGCTCCTGTGTGCCCTGTTTTCATGGCCACCTGGGCACGCTCTCCCTGTTTGCCATTCCCTGGGATCCTAAGTTTTCAGGGCTTGGGGTTGAGGACCCGCAGCGAATTTACTTGCCCTCTGGTAGTCACGCCCCCGGAAACTGGTGCAAGAGACTTCAGATGTTACCTCTGGTGGGAGCCATAGCCGGGAGTTCCCTGCGGTGGGTCCCGCGCCACTCCTGATTCCCCGTGTGGGCAGGGCTGTTCAAAGTGCCCGGCGGTCGGGACTATTTGTCCGTTTGCCGTGTGGGTGGGGCCCTTTGCAGAGCCCAGTGAGCGAGAGTTGTTCACAGGAGCGGGGGGGGGGTTGTGTGGCTCCCGATCTTTGCCTTT